AGCAATAATGCCTTAACATAAATTTATCTGAGATTTTGGAAGATACTCAGTTCAGCCTATCGATCCTCCTTTACATCTTGAATGCATGCCTTCTGACTGTGCTGACTCTAAAACATTGGTTAGGACTCCGTGTTAGATTAATTGATAAAGTAGCACACTGTTTATAGACCACTAACTCCTGGGACTTGAGGCAGTTTGAAGTACACAGTTCTTCTTCCTATAACCTCTTATTTAAAATAGTAAAATATTTTGAGGTTGCTGATGTAGAATGTTTTGAAGATCACTGCTTGTATCTTATTTTCTATTAAATCATTGGCACCTTACATTTGTGTCTTTCTTCACATATCAAACAAGCACTTAAGGAAAAAAAAAAGAAACTTTCTCCAAAATTTTGTTTTATATCATTTTTATGTCTATTCAACTTCAACAAATTTAAAAATGAAATAAAAGCATTTCTTTCACAGTTGAAGATCTCTTTCACAGTGTCTGGTGTGGTTACACGTGTGTCCTGCATGGTCCCGCCCTGCCTCAGCTGGCAGTAGGCGCAGTGCACCTGGGCCAGGGAGGCGGTCTCTCGCTCTTGCCCCTCCCCCAGGGGAAGACCAGATCATGAGGCTCAGGTGGAGGCAGGGTGAGTTCTTGGTTCAACTCAGCCTGAGGCAGGTTCTGTGTCCAGGGGCTCAAGCGTCAGCCTTCTCTGCAGTCCTGCCCACTCCTGCCTCCGCCGCTGGAGCCTGCCTCCTGTCTGGGTAAGGTCTTGTTTGGGGATGTGCCTGGGATCAGGGCCGGATCCTGGGTCAGAAAGATTTTATACCCCCTTCCCCCCAAGTTGTGGTCCTTACTGGGAGGGCATGGGGAAGGGTGTTTGTTCCTCCCAGGGTGGAACATTTGAAGGCTTTTGCTTCAAATAGGGGAAGGGTTGGGGTCATGGGCAGGGTGTCCTGCCTGTGCGCCCCAGTCAGGAGGAATTGGAAGGTAACTAGAGCAGCAACAAAACCCAAAGCCAGCGCGTAGGTTGAACATACTGGCTTGATCCCACACTAACAGCTTGTCAGAAGCTGAGTGTCCCTTTCTGGACTCGAGGACTATCTACTGTGGTCGCTACTGTTCTACAAAAAATATCCAGCATTCAATCAGAAATTATGAGACAGAACAAAGAAAAAAACACCCTATGGTCAAAAAAGAGAGAAGCTGCCATGAACATCTCTGTGGGGTCCCCCATGACCCTGGGGTGGTGCTCTGGCCAATACTCCATTTCCTGTGGGGCTGCTGGGCCCTAGGATGGCTGCCCCAGGGAACTCCCTCCAGCCACATGCGGGTTCCCACCTTCAGGAATGCTCCATGCCGCCTTCCTAACCTTTGCCTGATAAAGTGGTTTTCATTTCTGCCTCTGGGAGGCCCAGCACTTCTTCATGTGCTGTTGTCCTTTGTGTCTTCCTTCCAGTAAATATCCTGTTGTTTTTCTCTTGATTTCTAGTCTTTATCTTGTTGATTTGCAGGAATCCCCCCTTAATCCTAATTATAAAATCTCTGTTAGCACTAGATGTGTGTGTGTTTGTGAGAGAGAGAGAGAGAGAGAGAGAGAGAGAGAGAGAGAGAGAGAGAGAGAGAGAGAGAGAGAGAGAGAGAGAGAGCGTTCGAGCCTGAGCTCTTGGATTGTTGCCTGTTTACAGTCCATGGTGTCCTTCACTGAACAGAAATCCTCCCTTTAGCTCTGTCCAAACCTGCCAGTGTTTTGTCCTATCACCTGTGCAGTTGGAGTTGTAAAAGGTCATCCTCACCCCAAGGCAACAAACATAAGCTCCTGTGTGACCTTCTGTTGGCTTCATAGTCACCCCGTGACCCTGGCCCTCAGGTTCTTCTCTTACCCTTCTCTGCACTGCGCTTCTCAAAGCCCCCACATCCTGGGGGCCCCATCCCACAGGCCCCACATACTCATCTTCCCCTAGAAACACTGCTTCTCTGGCTCATTCAGCCAGGCATTTCCTCCAGCTCTGCTGGCTGTTCTCCAGCACAGCCTCTGGTCTCCAAACTTGGGGCTACACTAACACCCCTAGAGCATAAACCCTCAAGGGCCTCACAACTGCTCCTGGCGTGGATGGGTGTGTTGAGGTAATATCAGAAAAACATTGAGTTAACATACAGCAAGATATTATTCAAATGTACCTGATTTTATCTACCAGCCATTTTCTAAGCATGTCTAAGCAATCAAAGACATCAGCATCATTAAAATGTGATTTGAAAGGAACTTTCTGTGCCTTAGGTTTTTCCAATTTAGCTGGAGATTATAATGGTACCCACCTGTTTGCCTTGTTCTGAGGATTAAATGGGAGCCTTCTGATAGTGTGCTTACCTAAAACAGTACCTGCCCCATAGTAAATGTTATTTCTATTAGAATTTTAGTCTTGTACTCTCTATATAGTTTTGCTTGATAATTATATTTCTAGTAATCAGAGTATTTGAATTTGTTTGCCTAAGTATTGATCAAGTAGGTTTCTGTTTACTGTATTTACTTTGAATTCTTACTTTAGCAATTTGTGGAGAAAATGCTTTGAAAAACCCCAGAGATATTGTACATGGGAATTAAATATAAATACATATTGATATATAGTATATAATCATCTATCATTATTGTATTAGAAATGTTGGACTATTTCAAACTATTTCATCTGTTTGGGAAATTGTCAGGTTAAAGTACATTGATTTTGGATAATCTTGTTAAAATTCTATGCTATACTATTTTCTTCTATTCCTTATCAGTCTAAGCCATGTTCTCATACATAGGCACTGCAAAATTACAAAAATCACTGAAGTAGGATGATTAATCTTTCATTTCGGTAATTTAGGTTTTCATATTTGTGCCCCTTTAGAGGAATATTCAGAAAGTAAATTTTATGTTTGAAACTGTATAGAGCTCCTTTTTATTTTATTTTAGTAAGTCATGAAATGCAGAGCTCCTGAGATATGGTAATATTTTGATTTTCTGACATGTTGTCAGGAAATGATGTATTCCAGACAAGTGTGTTTTTCAGGTGTTCTCCCCACTCCCCCCACCCCCTCCTCAATGTATTTCTTCCTTGTCTCCTGAAGCAGTGCATAATGCATATAATAGAAAATTTTCTTAGTAATGCAGGGTCATCCTGAGGAATTTTTATTATTATCCTACCCAGTGACACAGTGTTCTCCCCTGACTCTGTTGGAATATGTGACCCTCCTTGACCATGTACAAGATGAATCCAGAGAGCTGTCTTTTTTTTTTTTTTTGAAATCCCATATCTACTGTTATTCCTCACCACTGGCAATGTGCCTACTTCTAGAAAACCAATCCTCTTTATTTGTTTATTCTGACTGCAAGCTATGCTTGCTAGGATTGTGTCTAAAATAACACTAGACTAGAGCTTGAGTGAGGACTTGATGTTTTTTTCTCAAGTGCAGTTCAGGGGATACGGGCAGTGCTAGTGTAGATTGATGGGCTATTGACTCCCATAGAGAGCTCTACTGTAGGAACTATTTTTGATTTCTGGTATACTATTTTAATATACAATTAAAGGACCTATATCTGTAATATTTTAATATATGACCAAGTGAATAACTTGAGTATAAATGCTAACATTACACAGATAATTTTGGGTAGATTTACTGAATCTGTAAAAAGGAGGAATAGAATTCTGAGTTCATAAATTATAGATCTTAAATATAATAGTGATTAAAAGAGAAACAGAATGCAGGTCATGGAGAGTCTTTATTCCTGGAGAAAGTTCAAGGCATAGCTGGAGAATAACTGTTTATTTTAGGCAATTCTTTAGTAGTGGAGGTTTTATGGGCCAGTTGTCCATTTGAGAAGTCTTTGGCTTTGCCTCTGTCCTTTACTTCAGATATAAACATTGATGGATGCAGTCATTCAGCTTCAATAATTATTTGTGAATTTCTCTTCTATATTAAAGGTACTGTAGAGGTGAGCAAAGCAGAAAAGGCCTTTGCCCCACTAAAAGACGGGAGTAAAATGATCACAAATAAATATGTATTTATCATAAAAAGTCTTATGAAATAAAAGCTCATTTCTGGGTGCTGTGAGTTTAAATATTAGCCAGAGGAGATAATTTGATTGGTAATTCAGAGATGAACTGATGCTCAAGTTGAGATCTGAAAGGAGAAGGGAAACTAGAAAAAAAGGAACCCTCCTGAGAGAGTGAAGAGCATGGGGAAATTCTTGGAGATGGGAGAGAGATTGGCACATTGTGAGAACTAAAAGGGCAATGTAACAGTAATGCCGTGAGCAACGAAGAGTGTGTTAGGAGATAAAAATGACCAGAGATGTAGGTGTCTGGTCATAAAGAACCTCAGAGGCCATTGTAAGGATTTTGAATATTTTTCCTAGTATAAACACATTCAAGTTTTAAGTATGGGAATGGCATAATCAGAGTTGAGTTTTTTTAAAATATGTTTTTATTGATTTCAGAAAGAGGGAGAGGGAGAAATAGAAACATCAGTAATGAGTGATAATCATCTATTGGATCCATCCTGCACCCCCTCTTTCTACTGGGGATTGAGCCAGAATCTCAAACTATGACCTCTGGGTTCATAGGTCAAGACTCTAATCATTGAGCCAAACCAGCCAGGACTAGGAACCATTTGTTGAATGTAAATCTGTGATTGGAGTTCTAAATTGATTTGATTTAGTTTGGTTTGGTTTGAACTATACCCACAGTTATATCTTCTGTGATTTCCAGGTTTGGTTCCCTTTAAATGAAGCAGGAGTTTAAAGATATCTGTGAATGCCTTTATGAAGCAGAGACAGGGATGAGAGCAGAGAACTTTCTATTGTTTTCCTTTTTATTTCAATTTTTACCTATTATGTAGAGCCAAACTTTTTAAAATTCAAATTTTACCAGCTTATGTAATATTTACTTGAACTATATCATTTTATAACAAATAAAACTGGTATTAGCAGATTTGGAAACATATACAACCAACTTCTGGCATAGATATTATTTGACTAGAGGGTGATACCAGGAATTAAATTTTGTATTGGCTGCAAACATTCAGTGTGCCATGGTCCTGAGTCAATGTCCTTTTTTAGAGGAAATAGAGAATGTCAGCTAATCCAGCAGTCAGGTAACTGGAGAATAAAGAGTGCTCTTCCTGGGTTTTGGAAGTTGAATTCACAGGACAGGCCTTGATGTGGGGGCATAGGTAAGGAGCCTCTGAAAGATGTCTCCACATTGCTGGTGTCAGCAACCATAGAAAGAAGGAATTATTTATCAAGATGGGTTGGTAGATGGGAGATAGGATCCAACTGTAAGTTTAAGCATAACATGCCTGGAAGACATTCAGGTGGCAATTTTAAATAGGCCATTGGCAACGCAGCCCTAGAGGTTAGAGAGGTCATGGAGAGCTTTTCTTGAGGAGCTGGAGGGCTTGAAGAAGGTACAGTAGCCCAGGTGCCAGACTGGACTATGCAGAACATGGAGTCCTATTGGCTGGAGGCCATGCTGGGAGAGGGAGGGCTGAGTCATACTTGAGGCAGAGCGATGCAGCTGCAGAAATGGCTCTGATTGTCAGGTGCAAGGGTCAAGGTGAAGCTCCGACTGCAAAACCTAATCAGGAAATCACAAGAATACATAATTAGGAGATAATGAAGTATGTCAAGAAACAATTAAGGTAAAGGCATCAAGAGTAAGACTGTGAAAAACACCAGTGTGTGAAAACACCACTTTTGTGTGGCACTGACTGGACGGGGTGCAGGCCAGCGTGAGAGCTCTTGCTACACAGTCACCCAGGCATAAACATTAATTGATCTTCAATGGACTTTTCATAATGCCGCCTTGGTGCAAGGATATGCTTGTAATCAATGGCATGCATTTATGGACAGCCTGTGTTAGGGGTGTTAAGCTAAAAAAAAAAGCAATTTTGAATTCCTATTAGGGACTAAGCTACTGACCTTGGCCTTATTAACATGTTTTGTAACAGAATAAACAAACTTGGATCCTACCAATTTATTATCTGCATGCACAACAATACCGATTTTTTTTATCACCAGCGCCCTAGATTCATATTGATGTGCGAATCATCCAATTGTGTTGAATTCGTATTGGAAACACAACATGTTTAGAAACTGGTGAAAATATAATTAGATCTGAAAGTATTCTGTCAATCAAAATGGATATTGTGCTGTTTTACCCAGCTGAGTTAAGAGAGGCAAATTATGGTAAGGAAGGAAGTGTTTATTTTTAGTCGATGAATATAGCTAATCTGGCCTCTCAGTGTAGGGGTGTTGTGTTGTGATATGAGAGAGAATTAGGCTCCCTGGTCACGTGATGGCTGTTAAGTAATTTCAAACACACCAGACTGAAGATTCTCATTGATCTCCCATTTCCTGAAAGACTGGAGAGCCGAATCTGGGAATCTTTTCTTCTTGAAGAGGCAGTCTCTTAAGCATAGTTCCTTCCTCCTGTTGGGGATATTCATATATAGAATATTAAAATTGAAAGTAGCAACCACTGATTTTGGGATGCGGGGGGCTTGATCCCTTTCCCACATAGTGCATTTCTTAAATGTTTTAAGCATTAATGTGTAAATATGTAATATTAATTTTTTTCTTTAAGCATCTGTTTTAAAAACATCCCTGAAGAAATATTCTTATGAATCAGAAATCTATCAAATTCTCATGTTTATAATGCATTTTTTTTCATTTTATATTGAGAAGGAGCCAAGTACTTTATTAAGATGTACTGTATTCTCCCAACAGCTACTGTCTTTTTTGATTCCCTGCCTCTTATGTATCAGAAATCTATCAAATTCTCATGTTTATAATGCATTTTTTTTCATTTTATATTGAGAAGGAGCCAAGTACTTTATTAAGATGTACTGTATTCTCCCAACAGCTACTGTCTTTTTTGATTCCCTGCCTCAGGGCCTGGTGCTCCCATTTAGTCCCTTGCCAAAGCCCAAATCCTGGGCTTTCTCCTTGCCTCCTCCTTTCTCCTTCTCACCATGGAAGTCCTTCTAGACTCTGCTCAGTGCTCTCCATCATCTCCATTGCCTCAACTTAATTCAGCCCCTGTCTCTCTGCCCTACATCATTGCAGTGGCTTTCTGTGTTTTCTCTGCCACTGCTTTTCAATCCATGCTCCCTGCTTCAGTCAACATGATGTATAATCATGCTATCTTCCCGCTTCAAACATCAGTGGTCTTGCCCTTGGGATAAGAAACAGCTTAGCATGTTGTATACTGTATTTCAAGGCCCAACTTTCTATTTCTTTAGCTTCAGACTCTCACCTCTCACACCCTCCTATTCTAAGCTCCAGGCACACAGGGACTTAATATCTGTTTATAAATGTTTCATGACGGGATGGCCCCTAGCCTTCTCACATTATCTTCATTTGACTTAGAATACCATCTTCCCACCTTTCAGTTCTCAGTGTAGATGCCACTGCACAGAGGAAATCTTCTCTGAGCCCCACAGATGAGGATCGGTATTCATGCCACACATTCACATTAAGGCCATGTAATCCTGTTGGGGCACTTGTTAATTCTTTATTGCTGTTGCTTATTGACTTACCTGTACCTCCTAGTAGACTACAAGGGAGGAGACCATACCTGTTGTTCTGATTATCTACTGTCACATGTTTTAGGTTGGTTATGGCAGCACCCTACTTCCAGAAATCAAAACCAGGTCCAGTTACTATTAAAAATACACACCTTGAAACTTACTGGCATAAGTTTTGTATAGCATCGATCATTCTGTATGCTCATGGATTACATCATCATAAACTTGGACAGGGCATTGTGCAAAAGTGGTGATGGTCTTTCTTTGCTCCATGGTGTCAGAGGCATTAATTAGAAAGACATAAAGGATAGGGGCTGCTTTAATGGCTGCAGGATGGAAGCATCTGAAGGATTCTTAAGTTCTTTACTTTTGACAGAGTCCAGTTTATCAGTGTTTCATATTGTTGCTAGTACGTTTGATGCCATATCTAAGAAGCCATTGCCTAACCCAAGTTCATGGAAACTTTCCCCACCAGGTTAATGTGATAGTCTCCCCATACTTAGCCTCCATCCACATTGTTTGTGCAGGAAAAAAAATCTTGCAACTCGTCAGTTTTCTTACCTTTATATACTTTTATTGAATTTAGAGAGAGGAAGGGAAAGGGAGAGAGAGAGATAGAAACATCGATGAGAAACATTAATTGGCTGCCTCCTGCCCGCCCCTTCCTGGGATCAAGTCTGCAACCCAGGCATGTGCCCTGACCAGGAATCAAGCCATGACCTCCTGGCTCATGGGACGATGCTCAACCAACTGAGGCACACTGACCAGGCACTTTTCTTATTTTTAAATGGAAAACACACACCAAAATCTAGTTATTTCCTGGTTTTGGTATCCACCAATAATTATTTCCTTGAGAAGTGCTTGGAAAGCAGCTTGGCTAATCCAGTCAGAAGCATCTGAGGAATGTGTATGTGTGCAGAGCTCTATGTGTGTGAGTGGGATGGTGTTTCCCAGACAGGGATATAGTTATAATGATATTAATGATGCTACAAACCACCTGCTTAAACAACCTCATTAAATCAAGCAATTGTGTAATTTGTGTTGACCAGCTATTAAATAGACTCTCCGAGAAAGCTTATCTGTTTTCATTTATGGGGAAATAATACCAGAAACAAGATCCTAATATCTAGTGTTAGCTTTGGAATTGACTGTATAAGTTAGGGTTCATCCCGCCCGCCCCCCCCTCCGCAAATTAAATACTATGGCTAGCTTAAACAAATAAATGGCTATTCCCACTTGTAAAGTTTATTTGAAGTTTATGGTGTGGTTTCCAGAACTGAAAGGAATATTGTAAATCAGGCTTCAGACTGAGTGAAACCAAGCATATGTATGTAGCTCTTGGGAGTGGGAACACTTTAATAATCGTTCTCTGACAGTTTCCTAGGATACATGAATGCAGGTTGTTTACTCTGCCCTTGCATTAACTTGCTGAATTTCTAAGGGCCAGTATTTCTGGTTTGCCCCCCACACCCCACCTGTAAAAGGATCCATGATGAGACCTTTAGACGCCCATGAAGTCTGTAGAGGGACAGAGTCTCACCCTGAGTTACTGCTACACCAAGAAATCACAGAGGGAGGAAAAGTTGTTTTCTAAGGTAAAACTGGATATTGTTAGCAAAGCAAATGCCTCCCAGGCAGCTCAAAGGTAAGAGCTGTCCACTATGCTGGTTGTTTTCATAACTTTAAAGCCTTGAAACCAGTCTGGCTTTGCATAATTAGTTCTGCTTTTGCTCATAGAGCCTCTTTAAAAGTGAGAATAACCATAATAGAGCTTAAACTAAGTGAATCTATGTGTTAGAACTTGCTTTATAGTGTTGAGAAGAGTCAATATGATTTTTATGCTTAGCACAATACCTAGCAAATAAAGATTTGATTTTAAAACAAGCATTGTCTTTGAAATAAAAAGTTGTTTTAGGTTTGCTTCCAGTTTCAGTGATGGATTTGAGGATAGAACTACAAGAAAGTCTTATAAAAGTGAACTGCAACCTAAAATCCAGTATTAGTAGAACAATTAGAAAATTTAGTTACAGTCTCAATAGATATAGGTTTGCCTTGTGGCTGTAAAAAGGAAGAAACTCTTACCTTTTGCAATAGCATGGATGGACCTAGAGATTACACTGCAAGGTAAAATAAGCCAATTGGAGAAAGACAAATACGTACCATATGATCTCACTTATATGTGGAATCTAATGAACAAAGTAAACTGATGAACAACCTAGAACCAGAGACATGGATACATGGTATAGACTGATTTGTCAGAGGGGAGGTGGGTGCTAGAACCAGAGACATGGTATAGACTGATTTGTCAGAGGGGAGGTGGGTGGAGTGAATGGTATAAAAGAAGGTGAAGAAAATAGCTGAAGAACATATATGCATAGCCCATGGACACAGACAACAATGTGCTGAGGGCCAGAGGGAGAGGGGCAGGGTCTGGGTAGAGGGGGGGCAAAATGGGGGACATCTGTAATGTCAACAATTAAAAATAAAATATAATTTTAAAAAGAAGAGGAATCCCGTAGTTCACATAGCACAATAATCACTACACAGGTCTCAGATTTGGCTCAGAATGTACCCAGGGACTCCTCAGAGGGTGACTGTGTCTCCTTTGGGCACATTTGGGAGAACACACTGCAGGCTTTGACTCCCAAAAGAGAAATCTGGAAATGTTTTTGGTAGAGAGCATCTTTGAAATACATGTATATCTCCCAGTGGGCAGCTTAAAGATGGGAAATGCTCTCATGGATCTAAATGGTCTTTTTGCTCAAAAGTCACCTGCAAATAAAATTAATTCTGCATATAAAAAAGGAAACCATGGATTGTTTAAGGATGCCAAGATATTTCAATGGGGAAAGAAGACTCCAACAAGTGGTGCTGGGACAACTAGGCATCTACATGCAAAAGAATGAATTTGGACTCCGTATATAAAAATTAACTCAAAATGGATCATCGACCTAAATGTAAGAGCCCCAACTGTAAAAGTCTTCAAAGAAAATCTAATAGCAACATTTCATGATCTTAGGTTAGCCAGTGATTCTTAGATATGACACCAAAAGTACAAGCAACAAAAGGAAAAGTAGATAAATTGTACTTTATCAAAATTTAAAATTATTGTGTTTCAAAGAACATCATTGGAAAGGGAACCAATGATCCATAGAATATAAGAAAGTACTTGCAATTCATATATCTGATAAGAGTCTAGTATCCATATTATATAAAAAACTCTTATAATTCGACAATAAGATAACCCAATTAAAAATAGGTAAAATATTTGAATATATTTTTCTCCAAAGAAGACATACAAATGTTTAATAAGCACCTGAAAACATTATTAGTCTTCAGGAAAATACAAATTAAAACAACAATGAGATGCCACTTTGCACCCACTAAGATGGCTAAAATAAGTAAGATAGACAATAATAAGTTTGTGGGTACATGGAGGTATTAGAACCCTAAAACATTGCTGGTAGGATTGTAAATGGTGCAGTCACTTTGAAAAACAGCTTAGCTGTTCCTCAGAAATGTTAAATATCAAGTTACCATGTGACCCCACAATTCAACTCCTAGGTATATACCTAAGAGAAATGAAAACTTACGTCACACAAAAACCTGTACGCAAATGTTTGTAGCAGCAGTATTCATAGTATCCAAGAAGTGGAAACAACTTCTATACTTAGCAGTTGATGAATGGGTAAGCAAAATGCGATATATCCATACAATGGAAGCTTATTTGATAATATAAGTGAGGGAAGTAGTGATACATACTGCAATACAGATGAGCCTTGAAGACATTATGCTAAGTGAGAGAAGGCAGTGACAAAAACCATATATTGTATAATTACTTATATGAAATGTTCTGATTAGGCAAATCCCCAGAAACAGAAAGTAGATTAGTGGTTTCCAGAG